AATAATTTAAGAGTTATCAACAGAAAAATTGATTTTTTATTTGGGACACCCTCTATATTTTTAATTAACTTAAAAGAATTTAAAATTACCTTTTCAAAAATAAAGCATACTTGATATTTTGTTATAATCCCCTTCGAAATACAGAATTTTTAAAAGTTCGCCACTTTTAAATAGTAGGCTTTGGACCCCTTATTGATGATATGCCCTTAATTGAACTCGAAAACACATTTTTCCAGCAAGACGACGCACCGCCTCTGAACGCTGAAGAATAATTGAATAGCTAACCAAGATCCCAGCCGTTGGCCGCCGAGGCCGCCTGACTTAGTGCCCATGGATCTAATCCTATGGATATATTTGCCGAAGAATAAAGGTTCCTTATTCTTCCGTATAATCTAGACACGAATTAGAAATACTTAGCAGTTATGAGAGGGTATCTTTCACCCCTACTGTGTTAATGAATTCCGCGAGAAATGTTCAAAAACTGCCCCGTCTGTCAATAACAGAAGACGGTTAATATGTCGAACACCTGTAGCAAAATCTCATGTCTTGGTTTGCTATTTATTTTTATTGTTATTAGATATAGTTTAAATATGTTGATGTTGGTTAAATATATTTTAAATTGTTATAAAATTCTGCATCTCTCATAGCAAATATTATTTTCGTTTTAATTGATGCTCACAGCTAGATTTTTTTTGCATTACAGCCGGTGCCGTTCAAAGCCTCCTCATATAAAGCGGGCGAATTTTTATATACTCTATATCTCGAAGAGAAATCGCGCAAAATATCAAGTGTGTTATATTTTTCGAAAGGCAATTTTAAATTCTTTTCAATAAATTAAAAATATACAGGGTGTCCCATATAAAAAATCAAATTTTCTGTTGATAATTCTTAAATTATTAATTTTAAAAAAATGATACTTAAACCATTAAATTCAACGTAAAAGGGTGCTTTGGAAATGTTTTCATAAAAATACAAAATTTTCCATAGCAAAAAAGTTACAGCGATTTGTTAAAAATGCATATTTTTGAAAAACACCCCGTAACTCCGAAACGGTAACAGATATCGATATGCGGTTTTCACCATCATGTTTTTGACAAAAATTTAGCTCCAGACACCGATATTAGTTTTCGTCTATATCCTATAGAAAAGGGTGTTTCCATTTAAAAGCGTCGAATTTGACCCACCCTGTACAGGGTGAGTCAACGATAGAGTAAAGTCCATTATCTCATTTGTTGCGAGGTTTACAAAAAAATGTTTAATACAAAAGTTATAGGGAAGGTTAAGATACACATTCTAAAATTATTATAGAGTATAAAGGGTGCTTCAAAAAAGTGTGGCGGATATAACATATGTTTTTTTAAATGCAACACCCTATTTTTTTTTTATTTTTAGATTCTACGTAAAATTCCATAACTTTTTTATATATAATGTTATATACCTAAAATTAATAGTTTTTGTAATATTTAAGTTAAGTATTTAGTATTTAATATTTTATAACTCTAAAATTATATCTATTTACTGCGTACTGTTCTAAAATTGTCCATGTATATTCTTTTTGTAATTTTAAAGACTTAACTTTTTTTGAATTGTATTATTTGTATTGTGTATTTTTTGTTGTTTGTATTTTTTTTTGTGATTTTGTTGTTTGTGAGTGCTTTGTCGATGAAGCTGTTTTGGCTTTTTGTACAATAAAGCGTTAAATTTGTTTAGACAAATGTTAAATTGCAGTGTGGTAAAAAATTGTCAGTGATACCATTGTTTCACAAGTTGGAATACCAAAATTTGGTATGAGAGTTTTATAGAGATGAAAAAAGATATATGCAAAGATATTTTAGTTAAATGCTACAGAGTGTTCAAAATATATTTATGAATTTCAACTACTTAAAATTAAAAAAAATCAAATTATTTCAATAGTACACCCTATATATTTTCATTTTTTCTGGTAGATTTTGGAAAGCTCTTCATCTTTTATTAAGTATGTCATATACCTATTTTTAATAGTTTGCGATTTATTCCAATTTTTTCTATTTTTACCCATATCTTTAATGCAATTACGCTATAACATCATAGTTGCCATTGTTGTTGTTAAACCTCGAAACAAATGAGATAATGGACTTTACTCTATCGTTGACTCACCCTGTACATCAATAAATAAATAACCCATAACAACGCTTATATTAATCTTCACAATGGACTAGTTTTTGCCAATATGTAATAAGTAAAATAAGCTATAAAACAAATAAATCAATTAATCAAATTGTTTGTCAATTTTAAATTAAGATTCATCTCATAAATCCATCACAATCTGGCAGCGCTGTCGTCATCGCTTGTCACACAAAGTTGACCACGTGCATCGGAAATTGTTTTGCGATTAATTACCATAAATATGTCACTCTATTTAGAATGCAATTTCCTATTAAATAATGTAAAAAAATATTGAAGGAATCGTTTAAAAATCAAAAGTTTTATGCTCGAAGTACACACTCGCTGAGGCGACCCCAGGCGTGACAAAAAGGTTCTAACCAATAACAATGTAAAAAGCGTTAATTTTATGTTGCGCCTCGGGTCGCCTCGGCGCCGGCGCGTGTATACTTCCATCATTAGTCGTTTTCCTGTGAGCGAAATTAAATTGAATAAGTATAAATCAATCCTGATTTATATCATGTACTAAAAACAAGCAGTATATCGTATTTTTGAGAAATATAAAAACTACAAAAACTACTATTCTTACCATAGTAACTTGCGATTCGTCCCGAGGATGAAAGTTCAATTACCTGAAAAAAACAAGTAAAGGTGAAATTTAAATTACTTTTACAGGAAAAACATGACGACACGAAGACGAGTAAGAGTTAACACCTCTTAAACATGCTAATGTCGGAGATTAATCTATGGCAAGGCTGAGAACGAGCCTTCTAGCCGTGTATTAGTCTTTTTAACAAGCCGTGAGGTAATTGTAGAGGCTTAAAATAAAGAACCTACATGGCGAAAAGTGTCACCAAGCTAGAGGTATGCGTATGGGAATTTGTTTTTCGTTTTTTATTCCTTTTTGTTGAAGTACCCACGTCCTGGTACAGTGATGGCGAACCTTTTGAGCTCGCCGGTGTGTCAAAATTTTGAAAAATCGAAACATGGTTTTCGTGGCAGACATTACAGAAGTAAAGACTAAAAAATATGAGTAACCAACTCTGGCTAGAGAATAGTATATTGTTTTATTAGGAGTAAAAACGACACCTTTCGTGGCGGGGTTGTATGTTTGACATACAGCCGAGGCACAAAAAGTAATTTTTACTCCGAATAGAACATTTTTTAAACAGCTTGGCACTAACTTTCAGATTTTCACAGTTTATTTTTCTCCATGTTTTTTTTTTCTAAATAATTGGGCTGGGATAAACTATATAAATTTGTATACTGGGATATTATATTGGGTCATTTAATATTAACTGAAAAATAAATAAAAAATAAATGCAGCGGAAATAGTAAACTTTATTTCGTGTTATTTGAGATATTCTAATAAAATATTTATTTTGATATTGTTATGTTGGGTAAATGTGATTTACCAGCCAGGCAAGCAAATAAAGTTTATTTTTCATGAAGTGGTATATAAATGAATTTTTAAAGCTGTTTTTAATTTCAAATGCATTTTATTTATTGTTTAAGAGTAAAAGAGTAAAAACAGAAAAAGAAAAATATATTTATTTTCGTTTTTATAACACACAGAGAGACAATTTAGTAAACTCAGTTACAGTTATGAGGGAAGTCTGAATAAAAAGAAAACTAATTGTTTAATTTATAAATATTAATTGCTTTATCGTACATGGCGTTTTGCAAACTGTTGTGTGCTAAGGATTTAGCGCACGACATGTGTCAATTTTAACATTTTTAACCTCCAATGTTTAGCTGAAACGCCAAACGCAACGCAGCCGTCAGAAAAGTGTCATCATTACATCGCAAATTATTCCACAAAACTGACAAAAACTGAGTGAGTCTGCTGCTAATTTGTAGTCGTAGAAAAAATAGCGTAAAAACTCGTTCGAAAACTTCTTTGTACACTCGTTCGATTTGTGGCTCTTGTCTGCGGCTCGAGCCAACAAACTGTCGAACTCGTGTGCAAAACGTCGTTTTCGAAACTCGTTGTTTAATATACTATTATTTTACTATTACACCTAAATATACATAGTGTCTAACCTGAAACTATTTTAATTGTGGAAGTTTATAAATTTACGTTAAATTATGAATATATCATACGATACGATCATTGATTATAATTTCTGTTTGGTTGAAAATTTACTTATCAAAAACCTTACTAGAGGCAGTCTTAGGTTTCCAAAAGATGAATTAACTAATATAGTTTTATTTGAATATATAATTTTTAACAACGTTTTGAAAAGTCATGGGGAGTTTTTCAGAATTCACAATACAAAATATTTTTATCAAAAATAACTGTAGATTACATTAAAAGTAATAACACATTATTGCACATTCCGCAATGTACTTCATAATGCTGAAGTTATTGTGACATTTATGACAATTTATAAATAATTCTATTACAATTACACGTCTGAAAAACTACTGTGGTAAAAAAAATTATAGACTTGGAAAAGAAAGTTAGACACTCTTACAGAATAAATAAATATAATAACGATGGATAATGTGAGATGGGATATCAATCTGATGTTTTTTTTTAATTTTATGTTTAATTATTAATTGAAAATTCGGAGCAATTAAAGTTTAAAGCCATTATGTACGTATAAATAGTATCAAATGCAATCAAAGTTTATGCCTCCAGTTGATGACGTCAGGAATAAGCTGTCCGGCCTTGTCATTTCTTGGGTGCCGCGCCGGTGCATCTCAAACCCAATATTAACATCGATAGACAGCCGGAACCCATAAAGGTCTCGACTCTTATCCCCCCAAGTCCTACACTTTATAATTCAGTGCTCAAAAGCAATCCGAATAACTCTTCTTCTTCTTCTTATTCATTTTTAAGATCTCGCGATCTGTTAATTTTGATGGGTCCTCTGTAACAGTTCTTGGGAGGTGGACTGCCAGCTGTCCTTCCATCTCTTAGGTGGTCTTCCAGGTTCTCTTTTCCCTGTTGGTTTCCCTTCTAATGCAATTCGTGGCAGTCTTCTCTCATCCATTCTTCTCACGTGGGCGTACCAACCTCTTTTTCTTTGTCTGCCCCACCTTACTATGTCTTGCACCTCACATTGTTCCCTGATGTCGGTGTTCTTAATTCGGTCTCTTCTTGTTTTTCCCATTATTGTCCTGAGCGTTTTCATCTCGGCTACTCGTAGCATGCTCTTCGTTTTGTGGGTTTCCTCTCTGGTTTCTATTCTGTATGTCATGATTGGTCTGATACAAGTCTTGTATATCTTTACCTTGCTATCCCATCTCATGTATTCGTTCGCCCATATTGTTTGCCTTAAGCAGCCCGACATGGCAGTCGCTTTGTTGATCTGGCTTCTTAAGTCCTTCGCTGGATCATGGTGGCTCGACAGATCCATACCCAGGTATTTGAATTGTGAGACTTGCTCGATGATTTTGTCCTGAACTACCAACTTACATCTCACGGGGTCTTTAGCAAAGGTTATGCTTTTCGTTTTTTCTGTAGATACGGTCATATTCATCGCTTGACTGACTTGGTAGAATCTGTGAAGCTGTTTCTGCAGGTCGTCCTCCGTTTCCGCGAAAATGGCTGCGTCATCGGCGTAGCATACCATGCTGATTCTTTTCTGTCCCATTCGGTATCCTATATTTAGTGATGATACTTCCTCTATAATTCTGTCCATTACCGAATAACTCACCACAAGGAAATACCCTTGAGTCATTCCTACCCATCTCTTCAATAAACCGAGAACTCCATAAACATCTACTTGAACAAGTAGCTAGTCATGTCAAAACCATGGCACAAATTACCTATAACATATGCGAAAGAAAGCGACTGCATCGGAAACCGCTCGGCAAACCCCACACGCCTATTGAGTGGTGTAAATACACCAGTCGTTTAGTCCGGAAACCTATGCTGTGTCGTCGTCGCTTGCTGGAATGACATAGTGCGTGGTTATATGTTCCTTTTTAAAAACGGGTGTAGGATTTTTGTTGAACTTTTGAACTGTTATTTCTAAGTTTTGGTAATTTGTATATCTTATTTAAAACGGGATACAAATGTGTTTATTTATAAGGAAAAAAAAGATATTTATAGTATAAAAAATTAATTTATTTAACAAAATTTAATTAAAAATGTGACAAAATAGTACCTTTCTATTGGTTCTATCGGACTTTTTTCGACTATATAAATCTTTATTTGTAAACTTTAATACATCAAATATTTTCAATCTAATAGTCAAATTCTATAGTTTTCATTATATCAAACAGCCTCTGAGAAATGTTTTTAACTCAAAATGCCTTTAATTATGTTTGACTACGTCATTTAAAAGGGTCTTCAAATACATCAATGTGATATTTGTCTAAAATTTGCAAAAGAATCCGAATCTCTGGATAACACTGAGTTTTACACTGAAGAAAACATTCAGAGGCTGTTTGATATAATGAAAACTATAGAATTTGTCCACCCATGTGAGAAATTTCCTCTTATTTACATCATTAAATTATTTATTAGATTGAAAATATTTTATGCATTAAAGTTTACAAAAAATAAAGATTTATATAGTCGAAAAAAGTCAGATAGAACCAATAGAAAACTATTTTGTCACATCTTTAATTAAATTTTGTTAAATAAATTAATTTTTTATACTATAAATATATTTTTTTTCCTAATCTCCTACGAACTGATATAATATGATGAGCAATCTATTAAATTACTGTGAGATTGTATGCCTCGATAACGTATTGGTGCAGATTATTTTCACCCAAACAAATAATAACCCAAACTATACATTGATGCGGATTGTCTATGAACTCTTTCTGAAGGTTACAGAAACCTGAACGCGTAATTCGATGTTCTTTCGCATCTGTTGTAGTTAATTGGTGACCATGGTGTCAAACATACTTTCAAGTATGTTACTCCCTATGAACTAATCTCCATCCATCTGTACCAAATCCCCCCCCCAAATCCCCCCTGTCTTCCGGACAATCACAAAACTCTTCTGGACGTAGTGTCCAGTCGCTCCCTAATCTCGTATCCCAATACTAGCCTTACAGGCACCCAGGGCGCCCCTTCTCTTCCCAACACATAAGCAGGAATAATAGCTGACCATTCTTCGGCGGCTGACTCCTCGTAGGTGGACCGTTTTTAGTGGGTATTCCGAATCCCACACTGTCTAGGGGTTATTTCTATGACCGTCTCCCTCGAGATGGTCATGGAAATGATCACTATTCGTCTATAAAATATTTTTAAACCACCCCCTCACAAAAAAAAGGTGCATCTCAAAAATGGCTTACCCCTATAATTTTTTATTTGTTTAGATAAACAATCGAGATTTGGAATGTTAGAATATGACCTAAATTAAAATTGATTGATTGTTTTTGGTCTCTTTCTGTTTCACCGGATATGACTCTTTTGATTTTTAAATGGCACCCTCGGTATATTTTTACTTTATTCCATAGAAAATGACACTCTGAGTAGAATGACATATCATATGTCAACTTTTGACATTGTTGTAAAGTAAAAAAATTTCGAGGGTGTCATTTAAAAATCAAAACTTGTAGTCATTTCCGGTGAAACAGGAAGTGACCAAAAACAATTGAGTAGGTACGTCAATAAATCCTAATTTATGTCATATATATTAACATACCAGATCTCGTTTTTTATCTGAGAAAATAAAAAGATATAGGTGAGTCACTTTTGAGACGCACCCGGTATTTTTTATTTTCACTCTAAATTTAAAGCAATAATATTTAAAGTGGTTTTAACATTATGTCAACAATTTAAGGGGTAAAACGAAAGATCATCTACGAGTTCAACGATATTTAAACACCTATTTCCGAGTCAACATCCTCAACTGGTTGGAGCCATCAAGCCGAGCCAAGAATACCTATTACAACAGTTAGAACTGCTAAGAGAGGTACTCATTAGTACCATATGTCTCGTATGAGCTTAAAATATTATAATGGTTCTGGTCTATGGGCAAAATCCTTTTTTGGCGTGAGAATAAGTATTTTTCTCTACTTTTATCTAATTGAATTCAGTCACCTGTTTATACGGGATGTCCGTTAGAAAATAATATAAATTCTTCTACTATTTCCAATGCTGTGTTATTTATTAGAATGTCTATTCTTTCTACTAGTTCGTTGTACATCACTTTAATTTTTGCTAAAGTCATTTTGAGACCCACTTTATAGCTGGCTGTATTCAGTTCATTAATTTGTGCTTGTAGTTCTTCAGGACTATTGGCAGTTAGGATTCTCATGAGCGAATCTTAGATGACTAAGACATTCTACATCTATTTTTAATTCTTTGTTGATCCAGTCCAGTTGACGGAAGATTTGTTCTAATGTTGCTGTAAACACCTTTGGGGATCGCGTCCCTTTGTCGTACTCCTTGGCCAGTTGGGAAATCTGGGGTTGTTTTCTATATCATTAGTCTTGTTTTGGCTTCTTCTTCTTTGTATATATTGGCGAGAGTTTCTATATAAGGCCTGCCAATACCTTGTTTCGCTATGGCTTCTATTATTGCCTTAGGATATACCGAGTCGAAAGCCTTATCAAAGTCTATCAAGGATATGACTGGTGGAAGTTTGTATTCTTTTGTTCGGCTGATAGTTTTTTTTTAGTGTATATATGTGATAAATAAGACGGCGACAGAGGTTTATGTATACTTGACAAGTATACTTGTGCAAGCGTAGTTGTATAAGAATCTTGAACATGTGTAGGAACAAACTTGTACAAGTATTTCGACTTGTGCAAGTGGCATAGACTTGTACGAATTTTCTTCATGCCCCAGTGACTTGCGCAAGTATGCAAGAACGTGTGTATCAAACTTGCGCAAGCCTGCACTTGATTCTAGTAGGTTTATTGCTTGTTTCTTATTTGTTTGTTAACAGAAGATAGATAAAAATGGCTAGTGAACATGAAAAAAGTATGCGCGATGTATTGGTGGAGTTCATTAGTATTTATAGAGAATCTCCTTGTTTATGGCAAGTAAAATCAAAGGACTATCATAATAAAAACAAAAGAGAGGCTGCATATAAAAGTTTAATTACAAAATTGCGAGAAATTGATAAAACTGCAAACGCGAGAAAAAAATTGAAGATTCGCAACATTCAGGTTCGGGAAAATTTCATATCTTCATAGCTTCTTCCCGTCGCAAGAAATCGTAAGGTTGCTGATAATCTTTCATGGGGGCTTATGGCTTCTTTCATGATGGTAGTCTTTCTTTTCAATAAAAGGAGTAACCAGTGATAACAGTTTAAAATATGTTTCTTCATTCATTCGTAAACAATTATGCCAATCAGCAGGGTAAAACTTCAATTCGTTTAAAATATTAGTATGCGAATAGATATTCCTCTTTGGAAGCCAGTTTTTGTACCAAAATCGACAGCTTTTTTCTTTTTGTTTAAGCAGAACAACGAACATCGCAAGAGCTAGCGCGTCTTCTTCGTCAATTTTTACCTACTAAAACCAAACTAAAGGTCCGTTTTCACGTTCAAGCAGCTTGCGCAAATTGATTTGTGCATGCAAATTTGCACAAATCGAACTGAATTGGTGTTTTAAAGTTAAGTTTGAACTGCACAAATTAATGGACAAGTGAACCAATAGAGTAGACCTGAATAGTTGCGATTCAACTATTGTGAAATGTGCGCAGAATAATGGACCAAGAAGATGAACTACTGGCAGTAGCAGGTGTTTTAATAATTAAACAATTAAAGGATCCAAAAAACGCAGAGATCTTGGATCGAAAAGAGGGACACCTATTCCCATATTAATTTGATTAAAGAACTAGCAAATGAGCCAGACTATTTTCGTAATTACCTGCGCATGAACGAGACGACTTACCGGCCTTTGTTGGATTTAGTTACACCAACTCTCCCATAAATTCCTTTTCGTTTGACATTATTTTAACGTCTTATAAATAAAATAACAACAAATATTCAAAATGAAAAGCCGGATACAAGTAAATAAGGCACGAAATTCGCTGCTACAGACATGCGCGGAAGTAGGCGATTGAGTTAAAAAGTTGGAGTGTCGTTTATACGTTCATGCATTTGCGCCAACCACAAGCAAATTATCTGGCCGCTCCAGATTCACTCAAGTCAAACTTTTTGGCTTGTGCAAGTTTGCGGTTTTGGTTTTTATGCAACAAGTTACTTGTGCAAATCGGACATGCACAAGCCAATTGCATGAGCGTGAAAACATATCTTTAAACTATCCAAGTGCGCTTGAATTGTGGAGTCAATGCAAACTTGTACAAGTACGCTTGCACAAGTCCATTTGTCAAGTATGCATGAACGTCTGTAGCCGCCTTAAAAAAATATCGATATACTCAAATATCGATATTTTTTTTTGTTTTTTACATCCCTAGTGATAAAATTTTAAGTATACATAGAATATAGATATTTGAACCATAGAATTCAAGTAGAGCACTTTTATCGATATGCTTCAACCGAAATAACTGTTCCTAACAATATCACGTCTGACAGACATTAAAGCGGAACGTAAAATCGTATCAGTCTTTCTATATCGTTTTTTACGGTCTTTTTTTCGATTTTGCGCTAGGTTTCGATTAGATTTCAATCATCGGAGCTTTTTAAGTGGTCGGGTTATCTTGTAAACATTCCAAAGTGTAGCGTCCTCTCTCGTTACCGGTTACAACGGACCTTCGTTCGTGATTATGGCGACTTTAATAAGGGAAATGATTAAATCTGAACGA